TATTTCAATAATAATGGAAAATGATATTGACTCATCATCCCTCATTAAACTAGTCAAAGAAGCCCATGCTATCGAGGAAGAGGAGGAAACCTTCTTCGATGCCATGAGTGATCTTTCTACAAGTCAAAAACTTGCCATAAAAGGAGAAGTATGGGTCCTCACACAACTGGTAAAGGAAGCACTAGGTATATGTCGCAAGGCCCTCGATCACATAAAGATGACTCAACATAAATGTGACATTAAAGAGGCGACACCTACATAGACTACTAAGAGAAAGCCATTTTCCCTCCAAGTAGTTGAAACACCCAAAAGGAGTGACAAGCCTTACACCCTAATTGGGACTTCCTACGTGAACATGTTCAAAATGCTCTTCGAGAGTGCGAAGATCAAACCTCTCGAGACAAGACCATTTGAATCGTTGAAAAGAATCGATAAGTTCTATTATCCATACCATCAAGCTGGAGGACATACCATAGAACACCGTTTCAAATTCAAAGATCTAATTCATAAATTAATTGACAGTAAGAAGTTGGTCCAAATCCCACCAGAAAGGGATGTTAGCATCAACGGAGTCTGGAAAAGTGATGATGAGTATGTCTACCTCAAAGATGTAGAAGAAACCCCACTTTCCACAATATACCCAGTAGATGACATTTGGGATGAAGAAGATTCACCCATAGATGTTCTCACAAGATCAGGGAGAGTACAACCTCCCATCACTACAAAACCTATCCCTACTACCTAACAAGTTCCCATACCGATCATAGAAGACAAAGATGTTGTCAAACAACTTAAAAAGACAAAGGTCGAAATGAACGTATGGAAACTACTAGCCATATCTTGTGAACATATAATCACAGTAATGGATGCTTTGGCTAAAGTAGGGATAGATTCAGAAATCACTCTTGAGGAATCAACTAATTTTCTCACAAGTGATCTTCCTAGTACCATTAATCTAATAACAATTTCTGACAATGAATTACCTCCAGAAGGTGACAAACACAATAAGGCCTTAAACCTCACAGTAGCCTGCAAGAGAATGAATGTCTCAATGACTCTTGTAGATAATGGGTCAGCAATTAATGTTTGTCCACTACGAACTGCGAGGATTTTGGGAATAAAGGATGAAGACTTGTCTCCATCCACACAAGGAATAAGATCTTATGACAACACTCGTCGCCAAGCTCTTGGGACTATTACTATATATGAATGTCACCGCAGGAGTTATAGAACATGCTACAACTTTCCAAGTGGTTGATATCAAAGCTTCTTTCAACTTATTGTTGGGAAGCCCTTGGCTTCATGACCTTAAGGCCGTCCCTTTTCACTTCATCAACAAGTGAAGGCTATAGTTAGAGGAATTCCTATTACAATTGATGCCTCCCAACTAAGAATCAAGGCAATTGATAAGCCCCTCATAAATGTGGAGCACGATGACAACGATGAAGACTTATGGGGCTTTAGCGCATAACAGGTCTCCTTAATCAAGGAAGATGAAAGAACCCCTCTTTGATACGACATCCATTCAAATATGATAGTTAATAGTATACTCCGAAAACAGGGAGACCTTCCTAGAATGACTCTAGGTAAGAAGAAAGGAGTAGCAATGCAAACGAAATCGTCTGGCCTTCCTAAATTAGATACTTTTGGACTTTGTTTTGAACCGACTCTGAAAGACTTAGCCCGAGAAAAGGCTAATACGCGGAGAAATGATCGTACCCAAAAGAAAGCAATCCCAATGGATCAATATCCCCTCACCCTAAATTGACAATTCATAAGAGAGGGTGAAGATTATCCATGTTATGAATTTCCCGAGCCATTTGTCTGAGATGGAATAAGACAACCTGGGTTCGAAATCTTCCTGGATTGTCACTTCTTAGATGACATCCCAACTCTTTTCTATAAGGAGAAAGCACCTCTGTGCTTCGACTTTAATGTCATCGGATTTCTTTTTGGGCACGAGAAGAGTGAGCCAAAATATGTTGAAGACAAATCCGTGCTCATTCAGACAGCACTACTAAGTGAGAGCTTTGACCCCTCAAAGCTTATCACACCAGCAGAGGGATTAGTCCAGGGATGGCGAAATACTGTGAAGGTGACTACACCAAGTGGACGGAAGATCTCCATAACAAAAGGACAAGGACCTATGTTCAAAGAGTCGTCTGAGTCAGAGTCTGACTCTAAGTCTTCCCCTATAGAGTCTTCAAAATATCTAGCTATAGTAACTCTCCCTAGTTCTTCTATTTTAGCACCTACTCCTAGGATAGTTAGTAGTTAATTCCCAACGGACATTTCTTTATTTGATGTAATGGTTTCTGAATTCAATAATATGTCTTCTATTGCTTACTCCTCGTGTTATTCCTTAGCCTAAGATGACGAGCATTGCTTAACTAACCATGAAAATGACAAAGAAATAATTAAAGCAATGGAAACACTTGAGAATAAAACACCAGTAATATAAGACACTGGAACAATGGATATCTCAAAAGATCCAAACGTTAAAAGAGAAGTTAAAATCGGATTAACTCTTACTAAAGAAGAAAGAACTGGTTCAATTAATATTCTAAAAGAGTTTATCGATGTATTTTCTTGGTCATATGAAGATATTCCAGGAATAAATAGAGAATTAGCTCAACACACAATACCACTAATTCCAGGAATGAAACTTGTAAAACAAAAGTTACGTCGAATGAAACCTGACGTAGCTCTTAAAATAAAAGAAGTTAAAAAACAAATTACTACAAGTTTTATCAGGGTATCTAAATACCCTGAATGGGTTGTAAATGTGGTGTCAGTTTCAAAGAAAGATGGAAGGGTAAAAATGTGTGTCGACTATAGAGATCTAAATAAGGCAAGTCCAAAGGACGACTTCCCTTTACCACACATCGACATTTTGGTAGATAACACAGCAAACCATGCACTTGTCTCGTTTATGGATGGATACGTGGGGTACAACTTAAGTAATAAGGAAATAAAAGGTCATCTACTACTTAAGCAAAAAAGATGCTCGAGTATGAAGTATGCTACACACCACTTGAGAAATTGTGCCTCGCATTAGTGTGGGCCACAACCAAGTTAAGACACTACATGCTCGTTCATATAGTCTATGTGGGTATCTCGGATGGATCCACTAAAGTATCTCTTCAAGAAATCTACAATTAATGGGCAAATATCAAGATGGATAGTCAACTTAGCCCGATTTAATGTAAGATTCATGCCCTAAAAGGCTATCAAAGGATCAGTGGTCTCGGATTTCCTAGTGGATTTCCCAATAGAAGATTCGACGCCTATACATGAAAACGAGTTTCCAGGCGAAGACTTAATGCTTACAGAAGATGATACTTGGACGATATTCTTTGATGGAGCATCAAACCAAAAGGGTTGTGGTGTAGGAGTATTATTAGTATCACCTAAAGAAGAACATGTACCAAATCTCCATTAATTTAGATTTTGACGTTACCAACAATGCGGTAGAATATGAAGCATGCGTGGTAGGCCTCGAAATAGCTTTGACATTGGGAGTGAAGAAACTTCGAATATTCCGAGATTCGTCTTTAATCATCAAAAAAATTTCCAAAAGGTGGAAAGTAAGGAGCGAAAGCTTGGCCCCTCACCAAACAAATTTGGAAACTCTCACTAAACAGTTAGAAAAGGTAGATTATACATATCTACCACGAGAGGAAAATCAATTCGCTGATGCTTTGGCAAGGCTAGCCTCAATGGTTAGAATTCTCACAGAAATTGAGCAAATGCCTTTAACAATAGAAAAGAGGTATAAACATGCTTACATTCAAGCCATAGAAGACGATGAGGTAGTCCAATAAGAAGAAGAAGAAGAAGAAGAAGAAGAAGAAGAAGAAGAAGAAGAAGAAGAAGAAGAAGAAGAAGAAGAAGAAGAAGAAGAAAAAGAAGAAGAAGAAAAAGAAGAATAACCTTGGTATACAGACATCCTCAACTATATATGTCACCAAAGGAGAATACCACTTCACACTGACAAAAGAGAAAAACGAGCCTTAAGACTTTTGGCTTCCCAATATGTACTCATAAACAATGAGCTACACAAAAAGGTACCTAAAGGTCGAGATCTCTTGTGCGTAAGCAAAAAGGAAGCCCGAAGGGCAATAAGAATAGTCCACGAATAAGTATATGGAACTCATGTGAATAGCAAGATGCTAGTCCAAAAGATAATGCACGAAGGATATTATTGGACTAGATTGGCACCAAATTCTTCCGGTAAAGGACAAATTTCATCATAACCAAGTCTAAAGCAATGAGTATATGGATCCCAATACTCCAAGGCGGTATGAATAAAGTCTATGTCAAGATCTACCCCCCTTCATAACATATATACCCCTAAGTTAAAAAAATTCAAGCTCTTTTCTCTCCTTAGCGGTCAGACACCAACACCACTCACGAGTGAAATCACTAAAACTATTAGACATGATTAAGAAATAAAAGCTATAACTATTTTTAATTTGTTCAACTATACAGAATTGGCAGATTAGGAGGCTATTTTCGCACAAAATTGGTGCAAACTGAATCCTATTAGGATTCGAAAAATTAATTCCAACGCCATCACTAGTGGAAAAAGGTCATCCGTAACGGGCAAAAAGGGCTCATCCGTAACGGGCAGCGTCCGTTACGTATGTGGCCGTTACGGATGGCCATTGTTATTCGTAATGGGCACCGTCCGTTACAAATAATAACTTATTCGTAACGGGCACTTGAAGTGCCCGTTACGAATAATGGGTTATTCGTAACGGGCGTTTCAAGTGCCCGTTACAAATAAGTCATTATTCGTAACGGACACCTGAAACGCCCGTTACAAATAACCCATTATTCGTAACGGCCACTTGACGTGTCCGTTACGAATAAGTGCTTATTTGTAACGGACACTTCCGAATAACTACTTATTCGTAACGAACATTGTAAGTGCCCGTTACGAATAATGGGTTATTGGTAACGGGCAATTACAATGCCCGTTACGAATAATCTCCGAATAAGACAAAAAATTAGGGGCATTTGTAACTAGCATTTCAGGTGCTAGTTACAAATACCCCTATTCTTCTTTCCATTTACCATCCAAATTATTATAATAAATTATAATAAATCCAATTTTTCTTGCCACAAACATATTATCAAACATAACATATAAACCAAATCCAATTTTGTATGCTAATTATATACTCTCCTATTGAGAAGTCCAAAACGCTATTGATTACAAAATTTAGTAAACAATGGTGCACAAACAACCCAATTTTATATATGATGAATAAGTAAACAATCTCAGAGTCATTCCCGTCTCCTGCAAATGGGCTGAACATCCATCTTGAAGCTTTCTTGTTGCTGTCTGAGCCAAAATGGCTTGTTACTTTGCTAGAGCAAGAGCTGAATCTCCTACTAGGTGGTTCACAACTAACCTCAGAGTCATTCCCATCTCCTGCAAATGGAAATAACTCGGCATTTGGTAATCTGAATGAAGCCCCAGTACTAGTTCCAATGCCCTGAATTCTCAACTGTAGCTAGGGCACTTCTTGTAGTATAATCTTGACAATCAAAGAAGCTCACTTCAGCAAGTAAAATAAATTTAAGCAAATATATGACAAATTTGAAAAAAAAAAAAAAAAGCTATGTTAAGCAAAAGGAAAGTATAGGAAAAAAAGTTCAGCAGAAATAACTTTTAAAAAAAAGAGTTAAATTCAACAAAAGTAAAGAGAGGAAACAATCAACTCATATTCATCACTAATTCACAAGTAGGAAAACATAGCATGAAATTCATACAGTAGACCCATATTCAACTCATATTAGTCAACAATCTATACTTGAAGTCTTAGATAACATATGTATACCTGATGGGTTCTTCTTAGCCATACAAATGATATTCAGTCCTCTGAAAATTTTATTCCTCTTAAAATACTACAAAGTCACATAAGCAAGCTCATTCATGCATGTAAATTGCAAAAATCCCCAAAGGTTTAGTTAATATCCACACACGGAAAAGTGCATCAGTTTCAGAATATACTTAAGATAGTGTAGTCCTAAAATAGGCTGGCCAATCACACATACAACAAGAAAGACCAGAAAACTGCTCATGTCACCGGTATCAACAACACTGAAATAGAATTCATCAACATTAGCGAGAATATGAAACCAATTCTGATTTTGTTGGGGTTCAGATAATGGAAAGAAATTCCAACTTAAAGAGGGTGAATGAGAAAGAAGGCAACATAGGTTAAGGTAAAAAAAAATTAAAAAAAAATAGAAAATAACAAGAAAATTCTGAAAAGAGGAAAGCAGGAACCTATTCTCAAGGTATATTTGACAAAGTAGTACTTATAAAACGCATTCTAATTATTAAGCTAGAAAAAAGTTGCATTTGATGAATGAAGAGAATAGTACCCAAAAAGAGAAAACAAGCAGTTATATCACAAAAACAACTTAACAGATTTTCAAGATATCGAGTCAAACCAAAAAATGCTATAAATATAGAAGATTAAGCTGATGCCTTACCAACTGATCTACAAAGTCACTCTGAAGTTTTGCCTCTGAGTTAATCTCTTGTGCTACCTGTATAAAAATCATAGCATTAGAAACCAATACATGCAGTATTGAACACACAAGTTCCTAGGCGATAAACCTGCCAACCTCTTCCTTCTGTTTCTGCTTAATACAAAGTTCGTAGATTATAACAATATGCTCCACAGTTAACAGTGTTAAACAAGCATGTGCAACAAGCATACATGATAAAAATGAATCGTGAGACAAATAAGCAACTTCCACTCTCTTAGTTTGAGTTCTCAGGCCATCCCAACCCTCGCTTAACCCCAAAAACCATCAACTCTTACTACATTGACTAGGAAAGAATGAAGCTAATTAGTCACAATATCTGTTATCATTGTTTTTATGAAGCAAACATAATCAACAAATGCTCAAAATCAGGAGTCCGCGAATAACATACATTGTCATCATTCTTTTTTTAAAAAAAATAAAAGACTTGTTTTTGAGAAGAAAAAAAAAACAGATTAAGGTTTAAAAGAAAAAACAGAACAAAGTGCAAAGAGAGGACAAGGTGTCCAAATACAATTACACACAACAAGAAAATACAAAAGAGAAAATTTTGTCCAAATACAATTTCTGTAAAAATTAACATTATAGACAACAGCAAGTCCGCAAGAAAGTAATTAAACAAAACCCCATAAATAAAAAAATACCTTCCAGCAACAGTAGCATCAAAAGTGAAGGCAACAAGAAACTTGCCAGGATTCTCAGCATCAGGCTCAACCCTCAACGTGTCCTTGTTCAAATTAGACAAACACTTGTTATTGATATTATAACTATAACTGATAACTATAATATCAGATCCAGAATAGAATTATTGTTCATGTATTTTGTTTAAACACATCAAGTAAGAAAATTGATAGATTGTTATGTGTATAAAGACTATAAACAATGAAAATTGAATGAGTAATAGAAGAAACTAGTTAAGAAGAGTAGTTGAGAAAAGCAAAAGAAAGACATAAGAGGACATACGGGAGACATCAAGAGTTCATCCTTAAAATGGTTGTATTGAGACCTCTTGTTGGCTAATTCAGAGGGCCACATTGCTCGATCACTTTCCAATAGAAGCTGGCAATTGCAATTGAAATTCCTATTTTAGGGATTCAACCGATTAAGTAAGTAATGAATTCATACTATGAAATGAATAGAAAGAGAGAGAACCTTCCCGATAGTAGAGCGGATGGCAGAAGCATCAGGAAGACCCATGGATGCTAACCTTACTCAAATCATTGGTTACATACGAGCTTTAGATAACACCCTACACAGAAATGAGATAACACCCTTTAATCACAAGAAATTAATTGATAAAATTAGAAATAATAAATTTGAAGCAATCTTGATGAAGGCGTTTTGTTTATGTAACCTTGTTCAAATCATTGGTTATATACGAGCTTTAGATTCATTGTAGCAAAATGAACCAGAGTATGTATTACCCAATATACGAAGCACTAGCATGATACCATATATATTCTCCCCTTCTATTTTCTTTTTCTGTCTTCATCTTCTCTTGTCACCTACTCTGACATAAACCTTAAGGTGGCCTCCCCTCATTGATCTTGAAAGCACCACCACTACAACCAAGCAGTTAATGCAATTGTCTATCTTCCTACACATTTGTTCAAGCCACAAATCTTAATATACGTAATGTCATTACTAATAATCACACGAGACAAACATATATAAAGCAATAAACATACATATATAAAGCAACAACAGTCACTGACTCAATGTAATAGTCCAGCAGAATTTATATGCACAAACTGAAATTCAATCACTTTACATATTCCTAAAATTAATATTTTGTTCAAAAATAAATTGATTGAGTTTTGTATAAGATAAAAAGGTTTATAATTATTTGTGTATATTATGTATCAGATAAGACATTACCAAGGGTTTCAAAAAAAAAAAGACATCACCAAGGAATAAAGAATCTAATATTTAGATCCATATGACTCCAAAATCACGACAAGATTGAAGTGTAAGTTGAACCATTTGACAATTCAGCCATGAAACAATAGTATAGTATAATGAAACCAGGCCAATTTTTCTAATTTGTAATAAAATCCAGAAACATGTAGTAGTAAAGTAATTAAAAGTAAATCATCCGACAAAAATAGTTGACAAATTGTAGTACAATTACACAGGATCTGTAATCGAAAAAAATCAAAACCACAATTAAGTAGATGCAATCTTGAGACAATAATAATAAGGGAAATTCCCATTGGTACACCTGTGGTTTTGACTTTTCCCATTGATACACTCCAAAATTTTTGTCTTCCCATCAGTACACCCATGGTTTGGTCTTTTTCCCAACCGTGACTAACACCATTAAAAAGTATTTCTTTAAGTTAAAATAATTAAGGAAAAGATTATAATACCCCTTTTAAACATCTAATGTCTCGATTTGCGTGTCGAAAATTGTTCGGTTTAAAGTTTTGGGAGTCCTAGTCGTGAAGGATCCAAATTAACCTCGAAATTAGCAAAAAAAAATAACGCAAATGTCTCATATGCGTGTCAAAAAATATCTCGATTTGCGTGCCATTACTTTTTTGTGATAATAATTGTTCGGTTAAGGTTTTAGGAGTCATTTTGACCCTTTATGGATCTAAATCGAACTCGAAATTGTCAAAAAATTAACAAAAATATCTCATTTTGCACGTCATGATATTTCTTTTTTGTTTTGTCATGAGACGCAAAACGAGACATTTTTGTTAATTTTTTGACAATTTCGAGTTTGATTTAGATCCTTAGAGGATCAAAATGACCCCCAAAACATTAACCGAACAATTACTATCACAGAAAAATAATAGCACGCAAACCGAGACATTTTTTAACACGCACATGAGACATTTGTGTTATTTTTTTTTTTTTTTGCTAATTTCGAGGTTTGGATCCTTAAGGACTAACATGACTTCCAAAACTTTAACCGAACAATTTTTGATACGCAAATCGAGACATTAGATATTTAAAAGAGGTATTATAGTCTTTTTCTTAATTATTTTAACTTAATGAAATATTTTTTAACGGTGTTAGTCACGATTGGGAAAAAGACTAAATCATGGGTGTACCGATGGGAACACAAAAATTTTGGAGTGTATCAATGGGAAAAGTCAAAACCACGGGTGTACCAATGGGAATTTCCCTAATAATAATGTATGATAAAATAACAATGAATTAATGGAACATAAAATGAAAAAAAAATTACATGGATCGGTGCAGCAAAAAAAATTACATATTCCTAAGAAATTCTAGCAGCAAAATTGATTGTTATCATCTTTAATAAATTGAGCAACATTCAATAATTCACCTCAATATAACCCAAATTCGACTATAATTACTTGAAAAATTGATATTCAACGGTTAATCTATGAAAAAAATATAAAGAATTTACCTCTGATTTTGTTTCAATAACGAGTTAAAGCTCAGAAGCTTCTACAATGGAGCTTTGATGGAGGTAAATTACTCAAGATTCAGCGTCATGGATTTGAATCGGATTTCAGAGATTACCAAAGAAATCATACTCGAAACGTCAATTTTCGAACAATTGGTCCGAATAAGTTGACAGAAATTCTCAATTTAGATCCAAATAACAAAGATCTGCAATTTAAAGTTTTAGATTGAGGAGAGAGAGAGAGAGCGAAAGAGAGATATGAGAGAGAGAGGGAGGAAAACGGCTGATGGAAGAAATGAACGACTAATTTCTCAAAACCCTAATGTTAGTGCTAACACGTGATGGAATTGTAATGGACCTGATTTGGCCGTTACGATTAGAGCAATAATTGTAACGGACAAATTTCTGTCCATTACGAATACTGTTTATTTGTAACGGTCAAATTTGCGCCCGTTACAAATATTAGTTATTTGTATCGGACCTTTATATTGTCCGTTACGAATCATCTATTTGTAACGGATTTAATTATGTCCGTTACAAATGAGGCGTTACAAATGAACTTTTTTCCACTAGTGCATGCAACAAAAACCACGCATCTGTAGGGAATATTGCAAGCATCCCACACTTGAGCGCCACTGTGATCATACACTTAAGTATGGTGGCGTCCAAAGGGAAGGAAGTTAGAGTAAAAGAGTCTCCAACAAGTTTTAGGAACTTTTAAACCGTTCACAGGGTGAAGGTTACACCCCTTCACGATCCATGAGATTGCCAACTCCATAGTAGTCTGGAACCATGACTGGATATTCGGCGATGAAGGTACAAATCCAACCTAAAAGAGATTGAACCTGCCCTAATAATAGGCCTTCTACTTTATTCTTCTCATATTCATGTGCGCTTTCTGACTAACATACAATCAATACTTTAATCCTAAACCTGTTTAATGTATGTTGGTTGGATATTAATTCACAAACAAATCTATTATTGGCAATCACTTAAATTATAATCATATTAGCCTAAACAAGATTATTAATTATCTTATTAATCGTGATTACGAGTACAAATTCCCTTTAAACATGCATAAAAGGCGTGATCAAGAAATAACAATAATATTTCAAGCAACATAATAACAATCATCATCATAATCTCAATAAAGCATAATCATATAAGCAAGATCCTAGGCATGATACTAACAAGATTAATAACAAATCCTAGCATTTCACTAAATAATAAAAATCAAAGCTTTAGCCCTAACATGATACTAATATGATAGAAGAAAGAATAAGAAGCATCATAGAAACATACATGATATTAGAAATCTTAGTTATTTCCCTAAACATGATACTAAGAATCATAAAGACATCCTAATATTATACTAAGAATCAAAATAATTAAAGCATGATTTCTATATCAAAAGAATAACAATTAAATTACTTACTTGGATGGCTCGTATCTCTTTCTAATAACAAATTACACACGTTAGTAACTTCAAGGAAAATATTAAATCAAACAATTAATTTAAATAATTAAAATAGGGATTTGGGACCAAACCCTCATAAATTATCAACTTTTCACGTCTAGGGCGAAGGCAATTTCGAATTTGGCTAGGTGCGTCTAGAACACTCGTTGGTAAGTGGCACCCGCGTTTTTCAACCCGAATGGCATTACCGTGTAACAGTAAGTACCCCAATGTGTTATGAATGTCGTTTTCTCCATGTCTTCTTCCGCCATGAAAATCTGGTTGTATTCTGCGTATCCATCCATGAACGAGAGAAGCGCGTGATTCGTTGTATTATCTACTGAGATGTTGATGTGTGGTAAAGGGAAGTCGTCCTTTGGACTTGCCTTATTTAAATCTCGATAGTCGACACACATTCTTACCCTTCCATCTTTCTTTGGAACTGGGACCATGTTTGCGACCCATTCGAGGTATTTGGATACCTTGATGAAACTTGCAGTTATTTGCTTTTGAACTTCTTCTTTTATCTTAAGAGCTACGTCAGGTTTCATTCGACGTAACTTTGTTTTACATGTTTCATTCCTGGAATTAGTGGTATAGTGTATTGAGCTATTTCTCTATTAATACCTGGCATATCTTCATAAAACCAAGCAAATACATCGATAAATTCTTTAAGTAGATTAATTAAATTGGTTTTTTTCTTTTTTATTTAGCGTTAGTCCAATTTTAACTTCCCTTTTAATGGTTGAATCATTTGAGATATCAACCGTTTCAGTATCCTCAATTACTGGTGTTTTCTTTTCAAGTGTTTCCATTGCTTTAATAATTTCTTTGTCATTTTCATTGTTAGTTAAGCAATGCTCGTCATCTTGGGTTAAAGAAAAACACAAGGAGTAAGAGGAAGAAGACATGTTATTAAACTCGGAAATCATTACATCGAATAAAGATATGTCCTCTGGGACTTGATTGCTAACTATCCTAGGAGTAGATGCTAAAACAGAAGAATTTGAAGAAGAATAAGGTGCTTCAGCTAAAGACTTAGAAGACTTTATAAGAAAAGACTCTGACTCTGAATCTGACTCAGACGACTCTTCAAACATTGGTCCTTGTCCTGTTGTTATTGTGATTTTTCTTCCACTCGGAGTGGTCAACTTGACCGTCTTGCACCATTCTTGCACTAAATCCTCTGCTGGAGTGATGAGCTTTGAAGGGTCAAAGTTCTCGCTTTGTAGAACCGTTTGAATGAGCGAGGATTTGTCCTCTATATACTTTAGCTCATCCTTTTTGCGCCCAAAGAGGAGTCCCATGACATTAAAGTCAAAGCGTGGAGGTGCTTTCTCCTTATGAATAAGAGTTGGGATCTCATCTAGAAAGTACCAATCCAGAAAGATTTCGAACCCCGGTTGCCTTATGCCATTTACAACGAAGGGTTCGGGAAATTCGTAACATGGATAATCCTCTCCTTCTCTTATAAACTATCCGTTGAGAGTAAGAGGATATTGGTCCATTAGGATCACTTTATTTTGGGTGCAAGTGTTCTTACGCGCCTTAGACTTTTCCTGGGCTCGCTTTAGATCTTCTAAAGTCGGTTCGAAACCAAGTCCGAAAGTATCTAATTTAGGGAGGCCAGGTAATTCTATTTGCTTAGCTATCTCCTTTTTCTTTCCGAGAGTCATCCCGGGAAAGTGTCCTTGTTTTTAGAATAGCATTTACCGTCATATTGGAGTGGGGGTCATGGAAAAGAGGGATCCTTTCATCTTCCTCGATTAAGGAGACCTCTTCATTAAGCCCCATAAATCTTTGTCATTCTCGTCGTGCTCCACATTAATAACTGGATTCTCTACAGCTTTAATCCTCATAGGTGAAGCATCAATTGTAATAGGAATCCCTCCAATTATATCCTTTACTTATTGATGAAAGGCTGAAGGGACGACCTTAAGGTCATGAAGCTAAGGGCGTCCCAACAGCAAGTTGAAGGAAACTTTGATATCCACTACTTGGAATGTAGTGGCATGTTCGATTGCTCCCGCCGTTACATTCATGGTAATCTTTCCAAGAGCTTGGCGACGAGTGTTGTCGTAGGCTCTTATTCCTTGTGTTGACGGGGTTAAATCTTCATCCCTTATGCCTAGATTTTTCGCAGTTCTAAGTGGACAAACATTAATTGTCGATCCATTATCTACAAGAGTCATTCGGACATTCATTCTCTTGCAGACTACTGTGAGGTTTAAAGCCTTGTTATGTTTATCACCTTCCGGAGGTAAATCCTTGTAAGAAAAGGTGATCAAATTAATGGGACTAGGGAGATCATTCATGAGAAAGTTAGCTAACCCTTCAGTAGTGGTTTCGGAGTCTATCCCTATTTTGTCCAAGGCATTCATTACTGCAAGCCTATGTTCTCGGGATGTGGCTGGAAGTTTCCATACATTCATTTCGACCTTAGTCTTCTTGAATTTCTTGACAACATCGTTGTCCTCTATAATTTGTATGGGAACTTATTGCACGGTAGAATAGGTTGTGTGGAGATGGGAGGTTGCATTCTCCCAGATCTTGTGAGGACGTCTATGGGTGAATCTTCTTTATCCAAAAAATCACTTACTGAATATGTCATTGAAAGTGGAGGTCCTTCCATATCCTTAAGATAGACGTCTTCATCATCACTGTCCCAAACCCCATTGATGCTAATATCTTGTTCTTGTGGAATTTGGACTAGCTTCTTGTTATCAATCAGCTTTTGAATTAAATCTTTAAATTTAAAACAATTCTCGATGGTATGTCCTCTTGATTGATGATATGGACTGTATAACCTATATGTCCTCTCTATGACTCAAATGGTCTCGGTTCGAGAGGTTTAACCTTACCACTCTCGGAGAGCATTTTGAACATACTAGCATAGGAAGTCCCAATTGGAGTGTAAGATTTGTTACTCTTCTTGGGTGTATCAATTACTTGGAGAGAAAACGACTTCTTCTCCATAGGTGGAATTTTGACATGCTTGCTTCAAACCACCTGTTATTATTTCTTCGCGAATTCAAATAGCTTCGCGTAACAAGCCTATTCCCTCCCACATTGATCGTATGAGGATCCAAACTTCTTCCTTAAATCACTCATGGCATAAAAAAAGGTTTCCTCCTCTTCTTTGATAGCATGAAATTCTTCAATTGGTTTGATGAGGGATGAGGGGTCAGCATGGTCTTCCTCATCAGAGATGGACAAAGAATCAGAGAGGGGTGCATTGTTGATGCTTGGCTTTTTGCTTGCAGGGGGCAATGGAAGTTTGTTGTTGTCAATAAAGTCTTGGATAGCTTCCTTAAGCTTCCAACAGTTTTCAGTGAGATGGCCCCTGCCTTGGTGATACTTGCAATGTGCATTGGGATTCCAGTTAGCCGTCCTCTTTTCGACAGGTGGATCCCCAAATGGCCCAATAGGAGTTATAAGACCATTTGCATTCAGACGATCGAATGCGGTGTCATAACTCATACCAATAGGAGTAAAGTTCCTCCTTAATGGTTTCTTTTGTCCTTGGTTGTTCATAGCAATGACTTCACTTAAATTAAAGGTGCTAACATTATTTGAGTGGGTGGTTTTGGAAGAAGAAGGATTGTCGTTCTTCTTACCTTTCCAGCCACTGTTGGAGTTATTATTATTAGCAGCTTTTTGTTTAGCAAGGTCGTCTTCAATGTTAATTCCAATATCATAGACGGCCTTAAAGGTATACAAATTGTTTTGAGATGTTTGGAGTACTTTTCTTGGAGGTTTTTTAATGAACATCTTAACAGATTCTTTCTCGCTTGGTACTTCAATCATCCTAGCAGAAGTTTCTCTCCATTTATTAAAGAAAGAAGTGAAACCTTCATTCTCTTT